CCTCAGAAAACTCCAACCTGGGCAACTATAGCCCGAAAAGAGCTACCTAAGCAGCCGATGCCAGTGATGGTTAGTCGTGCTCCAAAAATGCCGACTCCTCCGACCAAGAAACTGGCCAAGACGACCCCTTCGTCCTCGCCGGACAACCGACAATTCCTCCGGCTGGGTTCAAAACACCAGTGGCAAAAGATTTCGCCAGCTGGCATAAGAGAAGCTGTATCGCAGCTCACTAACGCACCATATGCAGCCATTGAGCACGTTTACCGTGTCCCAACAGGTCTCGCACTTCGAGCGAAGGACCAGGAATCTCGCCAGCTCCTATTGAACGCGGCGGAAAATTTCCTTCTCATCGAAGCAAGACTGTATGAGGCCTCCAGTGAAGAAAACGACCCCGTGATGAGATGAGGAGATGCTGAGATGAGCTAAAGCTGGGAATGAAGCGAAGGGAAAAGTTACAAATCGCGGAGGCGTCAAGGGCTCGGACGCGTGGCGGCCGAGGCTGAGGTGGAATTTGCGCTTCGGCGCGCCAAAAGGGGGTTCTCTGGACGGTTGGGCTTGACATGACTCAACACATGGGTGAAGTCTGAGGTGGTCCGGTCATTCAGATGGGACGAGGCAGATGTACTTAATGGTAGTTAACCTGATCCAGCCCGGCCTCACCCGTGCTTAAGCTCCAGTAGGAGTGCAACGGGAATCACTATACCTAGCACGTAAATGAACAAAACAAAACAAAAAAAACCCTTTGATCATGGAAGAGAAGCCATCCGATGAGTCTCCGGAGCGTACCCAGCATCCGATACGGAGATGGCGGATTGGATTAAGTCGGCCTCGACTGTTACAAAAAAGAGAGAAATAGATGAATATGCGCACCTCATGTGGTTCTGGTGTTTAGGCCTCGCCTGGCTGGGGCTGCAGGTTTTCTGAGGCTTTTACTATTTTTGGGTAGAAGGTTCCGTGGAAAAGGTGACCGAATTCCATGGGTAAATACTGAGCTGAATGGCTATTCATCACGGGCAATATATCAATGATCTTACAAGTAATAAAAGAGACAAGGAGCACTTTACAAGGTGTGGCCTGGGTCAGAGAGGAGCCCAACGTGCTAAATAGTCTGTGACTCAAGTAGTACAATAAAACACACACCTCTCCTCTACCTCTTGCCCACTGAGGACACGCCAGACTATGTTTTTGACATTTTGAGACAGATATCCAAACTGATATTTTGTATTGATCACTCCGAGGACTTACCTTCGATACGGATAAGAATTGAGACCGATATACTCACTTCTTATCTGGACTGCAATATTACTTTGGGCCCCGCTGAGGTTCCGGTGGATATTTGAGGGTATATTATCATAGGTAATTCTTTTTCTGCCTGTCAACTTGCCTGTGATGATGTTTGCGGCTTTTCAATGTTCAGGATCTGCCGAGGCTTGGTGACCAGATCGTTTATCCTCCCTCTGACGTGTCCATAAATTTGTCTACTCCTTATACGCTGACATCATACCGGCCTTGGTTTATTATTTATTATTATTACGAAAGTAATTTAAATATCTTGACTTGGCGCGATGAGGACCCATGCAAGTATCCTCGGACGACATGTACTTGACGTAGGATGGCTCATTTTGACATTTTGACATCTTGAGATTTGGGACTCTAACACTTAGAATACTCCCGAAGATATCACTCGAAGTTGACGCATTCCCCGTGTATCCTCTTCCGTGCGTACCTACCATAGGTGGAAGCGTAAATTTCCTGTGGTTAGCCGAGTATGCCCTATACACCCTTCGAGTACAATGTCTCCACGAAAGATTGGGGTTTGTATCTTACAGAAATCGAGGAATCTATCTCCTATCTCCAGAGGAAGCAGGGACTTTAACTACCCGGTGTGACGGACTTCGCCCGGATTGGGACTGGTCACTAGGACCACTCCGTCTTCGAGGTTAGGCCGCAGCAGAGCAGCGCTCCTTGATGTACGCATGGGTTGCATAATGTTGTGGTTATGAGCTGTGAGGTGTATGGCAATTTTTTTGCATCAGATTTTAATTGCGTATGCAGCTATCTAGCTATGACACAATATCAGAGAAAAGTACAGAAAAGATGACTCAGTTTATAATAGGAGCACTCATGCCTCGGATTTCATTTGCAAGTACCACTGCGAAGTTATGGTGGCTTTTTCTTCACCCCAAGTCAACCCTCATCCGTGAATACCCACCCAGGGGAACGTCTCAAAAACTCTGAGTTATCCAGACATGCCTCCATCATCTTTCAACTTTTCTCCGCGGGAAATTTCATCTGAGATGTCTCCTTCCCAAGTGGAGTAGGAGCCCAGGCTACTCAAACTATACCAGAGAAAACCACCAGGAGGCGGACCACAACACCTTATATCGTTGGCTTGTGTTTATAGTGTCAGCTGCACTCTCGCAAGAGAAGTCTTGGCGCGCACAAAGCTCAATTCGTAAAACTCTTGCCTAAATTCGAAATTTCACGCCCGTCGAAAACGTATGACTCTTTTGCATCATCTTGTAAACTTGTCCTGATCCCTCTAACGTCCATTCCAAAGAACTATCTCCCAGATTTGTGCGCCACGCTTTGCTTCCTCCGTCGGGTATAAATATCGGCGTGGGCGTATATTTGGTGACCGGCTGAGGCCAGAGAAAGTCGACGAGAAGTGTGGTCATAGAAACGAGGATGTACTAGGTCGTACTTGTAGACTGGATGAAGCTTAGTTGAGAATCGAACTCTTTGGGAGTGAAAGATTGACATGGTGGAGTAGTTTGAATTTTTGCCTCATGGGCCAACTTCTTTGATATTGCGAAATTTGACTGAAATTGGCTCTGGGAGAATATTTCACTCCCAGGTTCGTAGAGGACACCGCGTACAAGTGTTCAGTCTTGCCCTCCTACGTGGTACAATGTCTTCCCAAGCAAAAGATATTAAATTCAGTCGAGATTTTGTCTTTCAAGTACATCTGGATTCATTAAACCTTTACACCCGGAATATACTTGGAAGAGCAAACTAAACGGTATACCACTGCACCGTCCAGGCCCTCTGTTTTAATTGATTTCCGCCTTTGTAACGGCTATCTCGGACGGCAAGACTGAGCATCTTTACGCGGTGTACTGTACGAATTCGGGAGAAAAATACTCCCTCACAGCCAAGTTTAGCCAAATTTTGCAATATGATAGAAATAAGCCCACAAGGCAATGATTCAAAATGCTCCTCCATGTCAAATTTTCGCTCCCATCGACCTCGAATCCTACCCAAGCCTCATCAGGTCTTCAAGTACGACCCAGTATATCCTCATCCCAATGACCACACCTCTCGTCAACTTTCTCTGGCCTAAGCTGATCGCCAAGTACACGCTCATCCGATACTTACACCCGCAGGAGGACGAGAAGCGTGGCGCACAAATCTGGGAGACAGTTCTTCGGGATGGACGTAAGAGGATTAAGGACAAGTCAACAAGATGATGTAGAGGACGGATACAATCTTGACCGGCGTGAAATTTCGAAGTTTGGCAAGGAGTTTTTACTAATTGAGCTTTGTGCGTACTAAGGCTTCGGTTGCGAGAGTGAAGGCGACACTATAAACACTGCCATGGTTGGATAGTGCAGTGGTACATCGTCTTAGCCGGTCTGCCAAGTAGAGTTTGGATAGCTTGGACACATATCCCACTTGAGACAGTAGATCGCTGGTTCAAATCCGGCAAAAGACAACCTCATTTCTCGCGGCGCTGGTATGCATGGATGACAAAGGCATGCTTGGATAACCAAAGGTTTCGAAATTCCCTTTGGTGGGTACTTACGGAGGAGGGTCGACTGTTTGTGTAAGCCAGCTTATCTCATAGTGGTATTTCTAAATGAAATCCAGAGTACGAATGTCTCTAATGTCAAATGAGTCATGCAATATGTATACATAGTATCGGTCATGTGTCATAGCTAAAAAGCTGCATAAACATGGAATGATTTAAAAAAATGGATTACTACAAAATATGAGGATGAAGATAAAGCAGAGCTCTTCGAATGAAAATGCCGCTGATAAACGAGCCAATTTCGAGAACAAAACAGCAAACAACTAGCAAATTTTCATCTGAGCAGGGCCCAGAGCAGCATAGCCATGCAGATAAGAAGCGAACACATTGGGTTCAATTCCTATCTACACAGAAGAAAAGTTTCAGGAGTAGATAATCCACGATTCCAATGTGGATATCCGACCCAGAATGTGAAGCATATGATCATGGCCTACACAAGCTGGGCCAAAGGTAGAGGAGAAATACCGAGAAAGGCAGAGAACCGGTCATTTGAGGCCATGATGAACAATCCCAAAGATATGGCAAGGATAACTAGATGGATCCAGCAGTAAAGAAGGTTAGAGAAGTTTCGACTGACGTTTGAAGTCGAAGCCACGATGAGGGAGAAAGAGAAGAGTAGGGGAAAGAGGATCTTCCGCTAGTAGCAATGAAGTGGACAGGTTCCGCACTGGACATAACAGAGTTAGTGCACTTCGCGAAGGTAACACAACATTAGAGTGTATATAAATTGAAATGTTGAGGGAGTTTTTACCATAAAGGTTTCCTCCTATATAAATACTAGAGTTCATAGGCACCTGCATGGGCGTTAAGGCGCCAAATCGGGCTAAATGAAATCAGATTCATAAAATACTAGCAATTTGTAATAGTGATTGTGAGGGTAGCAGCAACTGTGATCATCGTCTGGGTCAGAATCTAAAGTCGTTTGCTGCGTAGAACTGTCCACAAGGAGGTAAACAACGATAACAGAAGTGATTGTATCTTTGAATTCTTGCGACCGTTTATTTACAAAAGTTGTTAAACGTAAAGTCGATGGAATATTTTGTTCTTGTGAATGCCAAGGTTCAAAAAGTATGTAGAAGTGATAAACCAGCTAGCACCACGAACGTCGATGATACCTCGCACGAAACGACTGATCCATTGGAAGTTGAAACCAAGGTTTGGAAGAAACTGTATTATTTTTACCATTTCGCTATTTTGGTCGATTTGTCGTTTGATGCTTTATATCTTTGCAGCGACCTCCAACACTTACAGAAGGAGCGAAAACTTCGTTAGGAGAAGGTTCTCCTGGATCAGTTATTGCGTACCATGTTTGGTTGCAATTCATATATTTCATCCTGATGAAAGGTTTACGTACCACACCCTGGAACTTGCATGTGAGTGTGTTGCAGCTAAGAACAACCCAGGTTATACCTTTAAAAATTAGGATCTCTCTTCATTCAATTTAAGTCTTATGAAGAAGTTCTCACCTATTTTGTCCGTCACAGAATCGTGTACCTTGACAGGAGTCTTTAATAAAGTACTACCGCTGGAGGCTGTAAAGCCCGGACCTTTGTACTTATTCACTATTACACCTTCAAGTGAACAATCCATTATAGATTTTATTTTACAACACTTATTCAAATATTTATAGCTCTTTCTCGCGATTCTCTCCATGGAAATTTGTATATCTTCTTTCTTCAAAACTATGTATGAACGACCACACATATATTCGATTTCAGTATCCAGGCTTTCAACTATCGCAACCAGTTGACAGAGAAGGGCGAGCACAAATATCGGCTTTGGGAGTTGCATCTTGTCGTGAATAGGATGTAATGCAATGGAACTGAAGTTTCTTGTTGGAAAAAGAGCCACAGACGTGTGAGAGAGCACGAGACCAACTCTCGACATGCGCCTTTCTTATAAGTATGAAAATACAGGCCTTCTAGAGATAGCATCTCTGGAACGCTCGAACAAGCTGACTCGCCCTTAATTAGTGTTGTAATTTTAAGATTTCTGCGCTTGTTACTCTAGTCATGCAACATCTCGTTTACGTTTTCATTTCCGGGTTAAATTTTGTAATTCAGCTCCATTTCTGTTATTAGTAGTATTGTTTCAATTTTGATGCCTTATCCTTAGCACTTATCACCAGGTATGTTGGAAGTTATGGCAGATGCATAATTTTGTCTTACACTCAGCTAGGCTGGGGCTCTACTGGTAATCAAGACACAATCACATCATGATTATGTCAACAATTTCTTCACAGAGCTAATTCCTGTGTATATCTGGTATCCTTTGGCTTCTGAAATCTCCAGCTCATTGCGTTTGCTGGTTACATCTGAAGGTTATTTTGATATCCCCTTGGTATCAACCTACAGAGCCTCACTCTAAAGCTCTATTCACTCACTTCGTTTTTCGACAAATATCCTTCTCTTCCCTATGCCGATTTGGCATACCTTCCTCAAGATATGTAGCCTTACGATAACTAGTTGATAAAATTATGCTCATTTGCTCTGTGACACAAACATGATCCGCTAAGCCTCTTTAATCTCATTTACAACGAAGATCATGATTTGCCAACCTTCATAGTTTTATAACGAGTAGGTATGAACTTGTTGGACAGCGACATGATGTTTCGAAGTGTCTGTTTAGCCACAAACACGGTATCATTGTTTAAAATAATTCATGTAATCGAATATGTAGCTATGACATATGACCGGTGTGATATATACATCTTGAATGAACCTTTCGTCATTAGACACACTCATACTTTAGGGTTCATTCGCAAATACCACCATGTGTTATAGTTATGAGCTTTGCGGGAGTCATATTGCGGAGTATTGATGAGTGGATGTTGTTATGTTTGGTGGGTGAATGTGAATAGACTCATTCAATACTGTGCTGTAGGTATATGGACAGAAATCACCAAACTACTTTTGTATACATTAATTGCGGGCACATCTTGTTGTGATGCTAGTCTGCGCCAGGAAGCAAGGGCTTCATAGGCAAGACTCAGTGATGAAACAACGTTACTTTATTTATGCTAGCTCATATTAATGCGCGACTCAAATGTGAGTCGTGTTAAATATCAGGAGCTTAAGGACCAAACAATGTCTATACGTATTACATGAGTAAATCAGACAATCAATGGACATGGCTGTAGAGCAAGTCGTAAAGGTGAGTGACAAACTAGCACCAGATTCTTGAGACACTGTGATCTAGTTGAATGGTATGGAAAATTGAGGACTATAATTTCGATCCTAATAGTGTCGAAATGTTTTGAATAGTAGATGATTATATTTCCACCTTCTGCCACAGGTCGGAGACCTCTTATGATTCAGGAAAGATGGTGGGAGTGTGAGCTATGACATTTATTAAGACAAAGCATTTATGACTTGGTTGAGCTATCTTCTCATAATCTATTAAAGGAAGATATGGTTAGAAAACTGTACTGCTGGTAAAGGCCTAAAGCTTAATTGGTATATATTATACTGACCACTAAGCTCTACATTTACGATACATTCTATAGACCCTAGTTTAGCCCAGCTTATAAATCAAGTCACATGTCTTCTAAGGCTCAGTGACTGATACTTCAACACAAGGGTTTATATATACACTGGTCTATTATGCCTCTAACGTGACTGTCTACCTCATGAACCAGGAGGCTGCCATCCGTCTGCTCTTGGATACGCCTACAGCATCTAGCTCGGCAAAGATCTTTGACTTCCGCAAGCTCGTAGTGAACTGGAGAAGGAGGCCACGCGGCTGAAATACGACGCCTGGAAAAGTGGCTATCCGATGGTGCCTAGACCACGCAGCTATTCTTGGAAACGAAGTTGCCGACGCTTTCGCTAAAGCTGCCTATGCGGTTCCAGCTCCACACTCAGAACTCTCCATTGTGAGGGCAAGGAGAGAAGTCAAAGCCAAATACGAGGCTTCCGTTGCACCTTATTGGGCAGAAAATGCACCTTCGAGATACAAAGAATTAGTTATTGGCCCTGATACTAAAATCACCATTGAGCTCGCCCGTTAAGGGCGACGCGCATTAGGATATCTACTAGCTGCACGGTCCGGTCATGGCGACTTCGCGGACTACCACCGACGCTTTCAGCATGAAAACGCCATTCTAACCGGCACATGCGGAGAAGAGAAGTCCCTGTAACCACTTTTTCTATTGCCACCTCGGGCAATACCAAGCTCAGCTCCATATGGCACAGAACTCTAATCCCAGCGTATCTTGGGCTCTTGCTTCGGCGGAGGGAATTAATGCATTCATTACCTGGGTGCGTGTCACAGATTTCTTCGAAAGGGCATAACGAAAAGTCTGCTTCGAACGAAATCACGATCTGATGAAAACAATCTTCTCCTTTAAATTTCTTTTATCTTGTTTTGTAAAATCTTTTCTTGATTTAGTACCAACTACATAGCATGAGATTTGGTGGACGGACGACCTCCATCTATACTATAATCTTCGAGCGCAGGATGAACAGATCCAGGCTATCATTTGCTTTGTCGGGTCTTATTTTCTTTAAATCATTCCATGTTTATGCAGCTTTTTAGCTATGACACATGACCGGTACTATGTATACATATTGCATGACTCATTTGACATTAGGGACACTCATACTCTGGATTTCATTCGCAAATACCACTATGAGGTATGTTCGCTTACACAAACAGTCGACCCTCCTCCGTAAGTACCCACCAAAGGGAATTTCGAAACCTTTGGTTATCCAAGCATGCCTTTGTCATCCATGCATACCAGCGCCGCGAGAAATGAGGTTGTGTTTTGCCGGATTTGAACCAGCGATCTACTGTCTCAAGTGGGATATGTGCTCAAGCTATCCAGACTCTACTTGGTAGACCGGCCAAGACCATGTACCACCGCACCATCCAACCATGGCAGTTTTTATAGTGTCGCCTGCACTCTCGCAACCGAAGTCTTGGCATGCACAAAGCTCAATTTGTAAAAAATCCTTGCCAGGACTCAAAATTCCACGCCCGTCGAGACTGTATACACCCGTCGCATCATCTTGTTAACTCGTCCTTAATCCTCTTACGCCAATTCCAAAGAGCTATCTCCCAGATTCGTGCGCCACGCTTTGCTTCATCCGTCGGGTATAAATATCGGCGTGGGCGTATATTTGGTGACCGGCTGAGGCCAGAGAAAGTCGACGAGAAGTGTGGTCATAGAAACGAGGATGTACTAGGTCGTACTTGTAGACTGGATGAAGCTTAGTTGAGAATCGAACTCTTTGGGAGTGAAAGATTGACATGGTGGAGTAGTTTGAATTTTTGCCTCGTGGGCCAACTTCTTTGATATTGCGAAATTTGACTGAACTTGGCTCTGGGAGAATATTTCACTCCCAGGTTCGTAGAGGACACCGCGTACAGGTGTTCAGTCTTGCCCTCCGTTGTACGATTCTGTGTTGGTCTAAATGTTCATAAATTCTTCTCTTCTACACTATACAGGATTCACAGCTACACTGTGGATTCTGGCTAGCGCATCTATGATGACACATCTACTTTTACGTCTTAGATAAATCGATAGGTATATTTATTTTGAAAATTTTTTCAATTTTCCCGATCAGGCACCCTTTGGTTCCATGCAGGTGACTATCTGCATTGTTTACAAAGGAGGAAACCAATTTAGTGAAAGCCCCCTGATCCTGTCTTTTTATGTTCCTATCAATATATTTGGTTTACCTTCAGGAAGTGCAGTGTACACTGTTCAGCCCGTGTGGATTCCGTCCTGTCCCCTTCCAGATCTATTTACTTTATCTGACATTGCTCCCTCGACTTCTCCTGCCAGTCGAAACTGTTTTATCGACCCCTTGCTTAGTATCCACTGTGTGATTCTAGCCACATCTTCTGGGCTGTTCATCATTGCTTCAAATGACCTATCTTTAGCTTGTCGGAGAAAGTCGCCTTTTCCATTTGCCCACTGCGGATACGCCAGCACCATATGCTTGACGTTTTGCGACGGATATCCACATTGACAGCTTGGCTTTTCTACTCCGGGTACTTTTCTTCCGCTCAGGTAAGAATTGAGTCAGGTATGCTCGCTCCTTAGCTGAATGGCGACATTGCTTTGGGCCCTGGTTAGGTTACGGTGGATTCTTAAGGGTGTGTCTTTGAAGTTCATTTTGACGCTGCCTGTTTGTTAATCAGTAAATATAAAGGGTATATCTGAGCATAGTCAGCTCTAGTTATACAGTCATGTGACACATGAGGATTACGGAGTCAGGGGTTTGGGTCTGGGAGTTATGCAGGTATTGCAGATGATCCGAGCGCGTATATACCTAGGGATGGCGCTCTTCCTGTTTGTACTTGAAGTAGAGAACCTTAGTGATTTAGTTATAATATGAGATTGAGCCAACAACGTTTACAGTATACATTTAATTTATTATCCTGATTTAGCGCCTTGAGGCCAATGCAGGTTTTTATCGGAAGATATGTACTTTAACTAGGATGACTCAATTTGACAGGAGACACCAAAGACCTTTTTTTTTTAAAATCATTTAATGTGTATTCAGCTATGGAGCTATGACACATGACCGGTCCTATGTGTACATGATGGATGACTCTTTTGACGTTAGAGACACTCATACTCTAGATTTCGTTTGCAAATACCAATATGAGGTATGCTTGCTTACACAAAAAGTCGACCCTCCTCCGTAAGTACCCACCAATGGGAAATTTCAGAATCTTTGATTATTCAAGCATGCCTTCGTCATCCATGCATACCAGAGCCGCGAGAAAAGCTGTGTTTTTTCGGATTTGAACCAGCGATCTACTGTCTCGAGTAGGATATGTATTCTAGCTATCCAGACTCTACTTGGCAGACCGGTCAAGACGATGTACCATCGCACCATCCAGCCATGGCGGTGTTTATAGTGTCTCCTGCACTC